TAATTTAACTAACACTGTAAGGTTTTCCTCAACATTGAGCAATTTCGGGGAACATGAGTTCCTGAACATGATGAATAATGAGATGTACCTCCTCATTGAATCATTCATTCAATTGATTCATTCAGAAACACTGATTTATTCATGAACAAAGCACCGCTACTGTGTTTTGTGCAAAGACACCCTATGATTTATTCTCTTTTGGTTTCATTTGGACACTTTTTGTTGGTAGACCAGAAATAGACAAAAAAACTTTAATATTGCATCTAGAATGTAACTTTCCTAAAATATGAATATCTTCATTTCATACCTTGTTTATTAATATCTTATGTAAAAGCAATATCACACTTGCAAACATTTTACACCACCTCTATAGAGGACCTTGGCAGACACGTTTAATGTTCATGTTGAAATCTTGTCTGTATTAATAATCAGGGTATATTTATTTTCACCTAGAGCCTTGTTGTCTTTGCTGTACAAAGTTTTGCTGATAGTACACATTTTACCTGCAGTACTCTCAAGAGAATGCATCATCATATGCAGCATCCTCATTTATGCATTAAAATGTCTATATTACAGAGTAAGGTCTTGGCAGCCCCTTTTCAGCCTGTGAGCTTTGCAGAATGCTGGCTAGCTGATCAATTCAACAGTCTTAGCCCCCTGTTCCTTGGCTTGAGGGATCTGCTGTGCTTCTATACATATCAGATCAACTGGAGAGATATGTGGTCTGACAGCCCTCTATCCGCAGGTAACCATTTAATTGCTCCTGTATTTGTGCCTCCAGAATTATTATATATATATATTATATACTGAAAATGAGACACATATCAAGGAAAAATTCAGTTTTAGGGCAGAATTACTTATCAAAGTTTGTAGAACTATATGTTTCAAGACACCTCTTTATATTCCTGTCTTGTTTTAGTTGAGATTTTCTTCTGTCTACAGTGAGTCTGGACTGTGGACTTTATAGTATGCCTATAACCTGTCTGATCCAGTGCTTTCCACCATGGCTGAGATTTGCACAATGCCTGAGGTGCTTCTGGGACACTGGCCACAAGCTACATCTCCTGAATGCAGGAAAATACTTCACTGTGTTTCTTATGGTCACCTTCGCCAGCCTCTACAACATGGCCAGAGGTACACACCAAATGAATGGGTATAAATATTTTCAGAAAATGTCTTCT